AGCGGGGGTTGAGGGGGAGTAAGGGAGATAAATAGATTGAGGGTGGGAGCGACGAAGCGGGTGCGAGAGAGAGGGACGACCGTGCGTGTGTGTCGTATTGTGGGGCCGCCTCGCCGCGCTGCTCGTGCTCGTAATGCAGTAGCGTTCTGCGTGCTTTGATCACGAACCAGGGGAAAAGCAAACCTCTTTGAGACCTCATTCTCTTCATGTGTGTGTCGCAAGGCCGGTTAGGTGCGAAAAGTCGAGAGATATACATACAAACCCGTGACTCACAAAGGGCAGCACGACCTGGAAGTCGTTTGTTTGCGCCAACGGTCGACTGGGTGTGTAATGTGTAATGTACAACGTATTATTTGGATTGAATTTATTGATCCTTGGGCAGTGGGCAGTTCTCCTCTCCGGCCCGGCCTGAATCACGAACATCGAAAAAATGAGTATCTGAATCAAGTCGACTTAGATGAAATTTTACGTCTCTCCTTTTAGTTGCCAATCTCTGTCTGTCTCCATCCCTCTATCCCTCTCTCACACGTGCACGCACACACACAGAGGCGCAAACGGCATGACGGGTGTTGTACTTATGTTTTCACAGCCCCGGGAGTGCAAACGTATTCCGTCCCCGTTGTACAGTACTAACATTCTCTCTTCGTCTCTCCCTCTCTCTTTCTCTCTCCCACTCGCCCACAGCACACACGCGCAGCTCGCGCTTGCAGTACACCATAATCGTAACGGATGTCACGCGAAGTTTGGCCGCACGAATGCAAATAGAGTACCTCTGTTTTGTTTTTGTCGTTTTTCAAAAAGAAAACTGCTGCAGAAAGCGGACACATCGTGAGAAGCGCAGCTGATTTATTTTCGTTGTGTTTTTTGTTGTTTCTTTTTCTCTAACTGACAGCGAAGGGGAGAAAAGACAGGGAGGGTGAGAGAGAGATCTCTTCTGAAGGTTCTGTGCGTCTGTGGGGTGCTGGGTGCTGTAGTGGTCTGGCCGCTTCTTTGCGATAAAGCTGAAGTTCCAAAGCTCCTTATCTAAACGCCCTTTGCAATTTTGTAAACTTTCCAGATTTCCCTCTTTTTTTAGAATTTAATATTTGCACCCGACCAAAGCCTCCGACCCTATCCCGCTTTAGCCTTTCATTCGCTTGATCCCCTCTCACATTCCCTCCTCGCCCTCTCACAAACCCTCGCGACAACCCCACTGCCCCCCTTCACCCCCTTTTATTTTTCCGCGTCCCGCGTGGAAAGTGTCGGTCGCTGCGGCTGCAGTATGACGCCGTGGTGCGGCTTTTTCGCCGGTTGGGCGACGCTCTGAACAAGCAGTACCACCAGCCGGCAGGCACCCCACCACGCCACGCCCCGCCGCGCCCCGCCGCCTTCCAAACCGATCGTTATCTTAGGAGCTCAACACCAGCCAGCCAGCCGCAGCGGGGCCCACACAGAGAC